AATGAGTAAATAAAACTCTCAGTTCAAACGTACAAGATCTTTACAAGACACACAACACTACACATGATCTTCACAAGATCAATAACGTCCATCTTTTCTGATTACTATTATAATCACTTGGCAGCGCTAGACCCGTAGGAATATACAGCTTCTTGGGGGGGGGGGGGAGGAGGAGGATGGAAAGTATTGAAGCGCAATTCAGGGAACTGGAGCACAGATCCAATTCCCTAGATCAAGAACCCTCCCTTGTGGGGGGTTTCTTTCACAACCACCAAAATGCACTTCATGTTCGTGTTTTTTTTTTTGTGATTAAAAATATTTTATCACTTGTAAATTACATTATGTATAATACACAGAAATACAATATTTAACTCTTATTCTCTTCACCTTATTTGTAGTCACATATTACCGTTGTTGTTTGAGAAATAAGTAAAAAAAGTCACTTGTTACCCTCGGAAAAGTATAAAAAACTTGAAATAATTTGTCAACGTCGTCTTAGGATGGATGGATGGTTGGGTGGATGGTTGGGTGGATGGCTGGGTGGATGGTTAGGCGGATGGTTGGGTGGATGGCTGGGTGGATAGTTGGGTGGATGATTAGGTGGATGGTTGGGTGGATGATTAGGTGGAGGGTTGGGTGGATGGTGGTGGATGGCTGGGTGGATAGTTGGGTGGATGGCTGGTGGATAGTTGGGTGGATGGCTGGGTGGATGATTGGGTGGATGGCTGGTGGATGGATGGGTGGATGGATGGTTGGGTGGATGGTTGGGTGGATGGCTGGGTGGATGGCTGGGTGGATGGCTGGGTGGATGGTTGAGTGGACGGTTGGGTGGATGGATGGATGAATGGATGGTTGGGTGGGTGGATGGTTGGATGGATGGCTGGGTGGATGGATGGATGGATTAATGGATGGTTGGGTGGATGGTTGGATGGATGGCTGGGTGGATGGTTGGGTGGATGGATGGGTGGATGGCTGGGTGGATGGCTGGGTGGATGGTTGGTGGATGGCTGGGTGGATGGCTGGGTGGATGGCTGGGTGGATGGTTGGGTGGATGGTTGGGTGGATGGTTGAGTGGACGGTTGGGTGGATGGATGGATGAATGGATGGTTGGGTGGGTGGATGGTTGGATTGGTGGCTGGGTGGATGGTTGGATGGATGGCTGGGTGGATGGTTGGGTGGATGGTTGGGTGGTGGCTGGGTGGATGGCCGGTGTGGATGGTTGGGTGGATGGTTGGGTTGGATGGCTGGGTGGATGGTTGGGTGGATGGTTGGGTGGATGGTTGGGTGGATGGTTGGGTGGTGGTTGGGTGGATGGTTGGATGGATGGTTGGGTGGGTGGATGGTTGGGTGGATGGCTGGGTGGTGGCTGGTTGGGTGGATGGCTGGGTGGATGGCTGGGTGGATGGTTTGATGGTTGGGTGGATTGGTTGGTGGATGGATGGTTGGGTGGATGGATGGTTGGGTGGATGGATGGTTGGGTGGATGGCTGGGTGGATGGTGGGTGGATGGTTGGGTGGATGGTTGGATGGATGGTTGGATGGATGGATGGTTGGGTGGATGGTTGGGTGGATGGTTGGGTGGATGGTTGGACGGATGGTTGAATGGTTGGGTTGATGGTTGGGTGGATGGTTGGATGGATTGGGTGGATAGCTGGGTGGATGTCATCCACTCCACCGAGTTTGTTCTTTCCTCCAGTAAGGAAGAACTGTTACCTTTATTCCAGAACAAACAGCCTACTGGAAGGTTAGCCAGATGGACCTTGACTATCCAAGCGTTCAATCCCACTTTTGAAAATTTACCTGGCAAGTCAAATGTAGTCGCAGATGCTTTATCGCGACACGTTAGTGTAGTTACTGCAGATCCTCCATTTACTGTCGAGGATGTCAAAACTGCACAAAGACTAGATCCCATGTGGTCTGGTGTGATTCGATTCCTTCTCCAGGAAGATCCCATTCTTACTGTAAAGCCACCAGTACCCATTAGTGACTTTGTAATGAGCCAAGAATTACTGTATCGAATAGTCGAGTTGAGTACTCCTAGCAGACGAGTTAGTAATTCCACAGTCACTAGTGATTGTAGTTGTATCTTTTGTAGATACTCGTTCAGATCTCTCTCAGTCAAGGCATGTGTTAGCCATTGCAGAGGAATTCGATCCTCCCAGAGATGATAACCATTCTGCATACGTAAACCTTACCCTCGCAGAATTGGGTTTAAATGTACATAGTCTGTATAATTAGATGTCCGAGATGAATGAAATTGTCAACTGTGTGTTTATTATTAGCTGATCAGTTTGTCGGAAATTTTCGTGTTCACGTTCCCTCCGTATTCTGAGAATTAACAGTCTAGATTTGAGTGCACCGAATCTGCCTTTCTGTTAAACACTTCTTTGTATATAATTATTCTTCCTCAGAATCCGTAGAGTGCATGAATACAGATCGATCGATCAATTCCATCCATATTGTATAATGATTTGTTCTTATAGTTTGTAATGATTACGTTAACACCCATTACGTCAAAATCATGTTGTACCATCCATTAGTTCTAAGTTATATATGAATTTGTTATTGTATAGAATCAGCCCAGATCCGCCTGCCTGTTCAGCCTATAGTATAGTAGTGTATGTCGGGACGACATACGTAACATGACCGAGCTGTCAGCATAGTTGCTGATCCCTGTATTCCCAGTATTATATAGCATAGCATATTAGTATCATCCCTGTGCTTTAGACACGAGATCCCTCGTAGGCCTTTGGCTTTGTGTGACGTCATAGGGATACACATGGGCAGTGATCCCTCTGTCCCGCTCTCACTCGGCGGCAGACCATACAGGCGTAGACAGGCAAGGCAGCTGGGGCTCCATCCCTCATCTCAGTCTGACAATATATTTACCATCCTACAAGTGTGTCTACTTTCAACCTACGATATCTCCATTTAAGAACCCTTACGATAGATGGTTGGGTGGATGGTTGGGTGGATGGCTGGGTGGATGGTTGAGTGGATGGCTGGGTGGATGGTTGGATGGATGGATGGATGGTTGGGTGGATGGCTGGGGGGATGGTTGGGTGGATGGCTGGGTGGTTGGCTGGGTGGATGGTTGGGTGGATGGCTGGGAGCCCCAGACCGACAAAATGACATCAGTCACGAGGGAGCCTTCACCAAATTCAACTTCAATAACAAGAACAAAGTTGGACCAAGTAAACAATCCAAACCGATAAAAGCTGGGGGATATACTAAGCAACACAGCCCCCAGTTTATGCCTAGAAAAAATAATCGGGGGCACTCTTTGTACACGGCTTTTTTCCTTAGAAAAAGGGGGAGAGATGTAAAATAGAAAAACTGGCGCTCCCTCTACAGGCACAAAAAAAGAATAACAGACGGCTAAAAAGGTAAATATATCTGAAATGGAGGAGACCTGGTCAGAGAAATAGCAAAACGAATTAAACTACAGGAATCTTATAGGGGTTGGAACGTGGGAAGAATAAAAAACCCTAAAAGAAAACGAAAGAAACCCAACGATTTATTTCTTATGCCAATCAAAATCGAGAACAAGTTCGTATTGGCCCCCTTTAAAAAAAATGGGTCCTACACAAAACACAGAAATGATGGCTACCAAGTCCCAAAAAACTCATTTTTAAAAGCAGCTAACCCCGACAGAGTCGAAGGAAAAATTAATTTTTTTTTTTAGGAGCCACAGAATTTGGTTAAAACAAGCCTATCGATGTTATCCTGACGCCAAAAAACTTTGAAAGGGAAAATAAAGCCCATGCATCTGCCCCCCGGGCCAAATCAGGAACTTGTGTTCTCAAGAACTGCAAGAAGCCCCTTCGGGCTTTTACCCCTATCAGGGGCATGGACACGGGGGTTCCCCAGTTACTAAAAACAACAGACTAGCCCCATCCACAAAGGGGGGAGTAAAGCAAAGCAAAGAAATACATACCCATAGTACTAACATCCCAAATCAAAAAATCTTTGAAAGGGTCCTAAGAAAAGATCGCCACCCATCTAGAAACCCTCAATTACACAACCCAGGGAACATGGGTTTTTGAGCAAGCGTCCTGTCTGTCTCAACTACTGGATCACTACGACAAGGTCCTAGATGCACTAGAAGACAAAAAGAATGCAGATGTAATATATACAGACTTTGCAAAAGCCTTCGACAAGTGTGACCATGGCGTAATAGCGCACAAAATGAGTGATAAAGGAATAACAGGAAAAGTTAGTAGATGGATCTATAATTTCCTCACAAACAGAACACATAGAATAGTAGTCAACAGAGTAAAATCTGAGGCGGCTACGGTGAAAAGCTCTGTTCCACAAGGCACAGCACTCGCTCCCATCTTGTTTCTCATCCTCATATCTGACATAGACAAGGATGTCAGCCACAGCACCGTGTCTTCCATTGCAGACACTGCAAGGCTCCAGGCGGACATCAACCAAATCTTTCAATGGGCTGCAGAAAACAATATGAAGTTCAACGATGAGAAATTTCAATTACTCCGATATGGTAAACATGAGGAAATTAAAACTTAATCAATGTACAAAACAAATTCCTTCCACAAAATAGAGCGAAAAACCAACTGCCAAAGACCTGGGAGTGATCATGTCGGAGGATTTCACCTTCAAGGACTATAACATTGAATCAATCGCATCTGCTAGAAAAATGACAGGATGGATAATGAGAACCTTCAAAACTAGGGATGCCAAGCCCATGATGACACTCTTCAGGTCACTTGTTCTATCTAGGCTGGAATATTGCTGAACACTAACAGCACCTTTCAAGGCAGGTGAAATTGCTGACCTAGAAAATGTACAGAGAACCTTCACGACACGCATAACAGAGATAAAACACCTCAATTACTGGGAGCACTTGAAGTTCCTGAACCTGTACTCCCTGGAATGCAGGTGGGAGAGATACATGGTTATATACACCTGGAAAATCCTAGAGGGACTAGTACCGAACTTGCACACGAAAATCACTCACAACGAAAGCAAAAGACTTGGCAGACGATGCAACATCCCCAAAAGGAAAAGCAGGGGTGTCACTAGCACGTTAAGAGACAATACAATAAGTGTCAGGGGCCCAAGACTGTTCAACTGCCTCCCAGCATACATAAGGGGGATTACCAATAGACCCCTGGCTGTCTTCAAGCAGGCACTGGACAAGCACCTAAAGTTGGTACCTGACCAGCCGGGCTGTGGCTCGTACGTTGGATTGCGTGCAGCCAGCAGTAACAGCCTGGTTGATCAGGCTCTGATCCACCAGGCCGCCTGGTCACAGACCGGGCTGCGGGGGCGTTGACCCCCGGAACTCTCTCCAGGTAAACTCCAGGTACCTAACCTAACCCAACCTTGCCTAATCTAGCCTAACCTAATCCAACCTTACTTTAACTTACCTAACCTAACCTAACCCTGCTAGTCAACAAGAAAGGCCATTAATAGTACTTACGAAGAAGATGGTATTGAAGATGTACAACAGATACTGCAACAAGTCCAAATATTCCTCCATGGTGCCTTGACCTCTGCCGTAAGACATTCTTCCCTGACCTTTACCGTACGCCATTCTCTCTCAACACTCAGGCTGTTGCTGTCACCTCAAAGTTCGGTCTGTTTGAAACATTACTTGGTCAGTTAGATATAAATTGTATAGACTACACAAAAGGTCATTTAAAAATGAGGTTAGGAGAGGCCTGGTGGCAGACCGGGCCACGGGGGCGTTGACCCCTGAAACCCTCTTTTACAAAATATTTTCTTACAGAATGATAGATAAATATTTTTCATGGATAATGATATAAAGAATTTTATTTTTGTACCAAAACTAGCTTAGAAACCTGACTTAACCTGCATAATGGTGCGTGTAATTTGTACTGTGAGCCGTATATAGCCCAAACACCCTCCCAGTACTCATCTAGTTGTGATTGCAGGGGTCCAATTACAGCTCCTGGCCGCTACCCGGTCACTCTTCCCGCTCCATGAGCTTTATCATACATCTTCTTAAAGCTATGTATGGATCCTGCCTCCACTACATCACTACCCAGGCTGTTCCACTTCCTGACTACTCTGTGACTGAAGAAATACTTACTAACATCCCTGTAGTCCATCTGAGTCTTCAACTTCCAACTGTGTCCCCTTGTTGCTGTGTCCCATCTCTGGAACATCCTGTCTCTGTCCACCTTGTTTATACCTCTCAGTATTTTATATGTCGTTATCATATCCCCCCTAACTCTCCTGTCTTCCAGTGTCGTCAGGTCGATTTCCCTTAACCTCTCCTCGTAGGACATACCCCTTAGCTCTGGGACTAGTCTTGTTGCAAACCTTTGCACTTTCTCTAGTTTCCTTATGTGCTTGGCTAGGTGTGGGTTCCAAACTGGCACTGCATATTCCAATATGGGCCTAATGTACACAGTGTGCAGCGTCCTGAATGACTCCTTATTGAGATGTCGGAATGCTGTTCTGAGGTTTACTAGATGCCCATATGCTGCAGCAGTTATTTGGTTGATGTGTGCTTCAGGAGATGTGCCTGGTGTTATACTCACCCCAAGATCTTTTTCCTTGAGTGAAGTTTGTAGTCTCTGGCCCCCTAGACTGTACTCCGTCTGTGGTCTTCTTTGCCCTTCCCCAATCTTCATGACTTTGCACTTGGTGGGGTTGAACTCCAGGAGCCAGTTTCTGGACTAGGCCTGCAGTCTGTCCAGATCCCTCTGTAGTTCTGCCTGGTCTTCGTCCGATTGAATTCTTCTCAACTTCACGTCATCTGCAAACAGGGACACTTCGGAGTCGATTCCTTCCCTCATGTCGTTCACAAATACCAGAAACAGCACCGGTCCTAGAACTGATCCCTGTGGCACCCCGCTCATTACTGGCGCCCACTCTGATACCTCGCCATGTAGCATGACTCGTTGTCTTCCTGACAGGTATTCCCTGATCCACTGTAGTGCCTTCCCTGTTATCCCTGCTTGGTCCTCCAGCTTCCACACTAATCTCTTGTGGGGAATTGTGTCAAAACCTTCTTACAGTCCAAGAAAATGCAATCTACCCACCACTCTCTCTCATGTCTTAGGGCCGTCACCCTGTCATCGAACTCCAGTAGGTTTGTGATGCAGAATTTCCCGTCCCTGAAACCATGCTGGTTGTCGTTGATAAGCTCATTCCTTTCTAGGTGTTCCACCACTCTTCTGATAATTTTCTCCATGACTTTACATACTATACACGTCAGTGACACTGGTCTGTAGTTTAATGGTTCGTGTCTATCTCCTTTTTTTAAAAATTGGGACTACATTTGCTGTCTTACATACTTCCAGTAGTCGTCCTGTTTCGACAGATGTGTTGAAGATAGTTGTTAGTTGTACGTACATTGTTGCTCTCAAGTGTACACACGTCACGAGGGATATGCCTGGAGGGTGTGTCGGGGGGTCAATCCCCCCCCCCCGTGGACTGGTCCATGACCAGGACTCGCGGTGTATCAGGGCGTAATCAACCAGGCTGTTACTGCCAGGTCAGAAAATATATAAAGTAGTATTTAGAACCTATTAACTACCCACGTCTCCTATCACCACCAGACAAGTATACATCAACCACCTGCATAGGGATTGAGCCGTGTATACACTGTGTATATACACTGTGTATTTTTTTCAACATACCGGCTGTATCCCACCCAGGCAGGGTCACCTGAAAAGAAAAACGAAAGTTTTTCTATTTAAATATAGTAAGTTATATAACATGGGGTTAGTAGCTATTAGCTCCCGGCATTTTAGTCGCCTCTAACGACACTCATGACTTACGGAGGAAGAATTGTGTTCCACTTCCCCATGGAGATATATACCCTTGAGAAAACTCATGACTGGGTAATAGTTTAAATCCTATCTACTACAAGATGGTCATCATGACTGCCAGTAACCTGTTCACTATAGTTCAGTGTTCAACTCGTCCCAATAATTCTCCAAATAAACTTTCACTGTTCAGATGTTATTCCAACAAACTCAGGAATATTTACTCTCCCAGAGAAACTAATTTAGAAAATTTCCGAATAGGTTAGGTAAATTAAGTCATTTTAAACTGAAATTATTACGAGATCAAAGCTAAATTTATGGGTTAGTTTAAGGGGATAAATTAACAGCTGGAATATTAATAATACTGATTTTTTCTTCTGAATAAGCAAGGTTAATTACACCATTGGAATACGTTAATAATTCGGTGGTTCACACGGGTTCCAGATCACTACTTATGCTCACTTAACGTCGCTTCCGACCACTTGAACCACACACCAAACAAGACTCCACTGTTTTGGCTAATACACTTGGAAGGCTGAAAGTGATGATGTGGTATATACGAGGGATATACCCTGGAGAAAAGTACGTGTATGTGTATATACCAAGGGTCGTAGTGATACTGGTGTAATCGCGGAGCTACAACGCAGATTACGATCGAGTGTTTTATCGACTCTTGAAGACTGAGATAAGGTCTACCCTTCTCTAGCTCTGGGACATTATTATTTTTATAGGGAGGGCTAAACCCGTAGGGATTAAACAGTGCCTGTGGGGGTTGTGTGATGGTATTCACGCTTAATTCAGGCAATTGGAGCACAGATCTAATTCCCTGTGATCAAGAGCCCCTCACCATCGTCAAGGAACCTCCCTTGAGGGCAGTTCTGGGACAATTTGGGTAAATATATGGAATTTCTCACATCTCGAGAACGGCTGTGAAATGACTTAAATTCCTGATGGTTGAAAAGACTTCAATGTAATATACCATACACCACATATTAAACAATATTAATAACCTTGTCGGTATATAACACCAGTTATATATGGAGTTTGACTCGTATGCCTCAAGTCGGTACTCCTATAGTTGTGACTGTCTTGTGTATTATACCTGGAGAAAGTTTTGGGGGTCAACGCCCCGAAACCATATCTCGGGGCCTCCTACGAGTGATACAACATGTAGAATAATAGCATATGGAGAAAGTGCCAGAATAAGATATTTTATTGTTTGAATCTACATGGACGATCATCTCTTATTTTTATCCCCCGTGTTGAAAGTTTAAGATTTAAATAATAACTTATTATAAGGAGCCCAATGGAAATAAGTCACTGACTTTTTGGGTTGTCCTGGTGGGGTAATTAACATATTTGTTACTATGTATGATAATTTATGTAACTGTATTCATGTGTACCTGAATAAATTTGTTTATCCCACAACTTTCTGCCATAAACCCATACGGTTTGAGCGCACTTTGTGTAATTAGCGATACACACGAGCTGTGGCATCCACTACCTTCCCACAGCCTACTTATTTTCATGTTGAAAAAAACGTTATACTCTACTGAATCCTGTTATCATAGCTTGGTTATCTTGTAATCTTATCGGATAACAAGTACCGGGTGAGCTCACACTGTTGTCTGGCATCAACAACTCTTCCAGCTCTGACAACTAGATGTTAGTTGGAATAAAATTAAATGGTCTTCATTAATGTTTCAAGGGGTGGAGTGATAAGCCAGTGGAAGGCCTCGGTCAGATGACCAAAAGTTCCAGCTGTGGGTCATATGACTAAGACCTGCATCAGGAAACACTGTTCTGTTGCCTCGTCTATCTTGCCTAACTTAACCTAATTGCCTCACAGGTATCGGCTGGAAGAGGGTCATTAAGGCTGCAACTCACCTGACCAAAAATACCATTCAACCTGGAAAGAGTTCCGGGGGTCAACGCCCCCGCGGCCCGGTCTGTGACCAGGCCTCCTGGTAGATCAGAGCCTGATCAACCAGGCTGTTACTGCTGGCTGAACGCAATCCAACGTACGAGCCACAGCCGGCTGGTCAGGTACCGACTTTAGGTGCTTGTCCATTGCCAGCTTGAAGACTGCCAGGGGTCTATTGGTAATCCCCCTTATGTATGCTGGGAGGCAGTTGAACAGTCTCGGGCCCCTGACACTTATTGTATGGTCTCTTAACGTGCTAGTGACACCCCTGCTTTTCATTGGGGGGATGTTGCATCGTCTGCCAAGTCTTTTGCTTTCGTAGTGAGTGATTTTCGTGTGCAAGTTCGGTACTAGTCCCTCTAGGATTTTCCAGGTGTATATAACCATGTATCTCTCCCGCCTGCATTCCAGGGAATACAGGTTCAGGAACCTCAAGCGCTCCCAGTAATTGAGGTGTTTTATCTCCGTTATGCGTGCCGTGAAGGTTCTCTGTACATTTCCTAGGTCAAGGCATAAAATAATGATGATAATTATTATTATAATAAAAAAGAAGCACTAAGCCACAAGGGCTATACAGCGCTGCAGGGTAGGGAAGGAAGCGAGGGTATTGGATGGCAGACAGGGGGAGGGATGATCAGTAGGTTACAGAAAACAGTGGGGCAGGGGATAGTGCGGGGGTAGAGGGTAGCAAGAGATTGAGGTAGAAAGGGCTGAAGGTATCAGAGTTTGTGAAGTAAGTCAGTTGTTGTCAAAAAGTCAATGAGAGAGTCCAGATGAAAGGTGGGTCCATCAGCGAGAAGGGAAGGTAAACAGAGAGCAGTGGAGCGAAGACGACGACGGAGGTAAATTCTGCGTGCTCGTTGATAAAGTGGGCAGTCCAACAGAATGTGGCTGACTGATAATGAAGCTTGGCAATTCTCACAGAGAGGAGCAGGGCACCTCTCCATGAGATATCCATGAGTAAGATGAGTATGGCCAATGCGAAGATGGGAGAGAGTAGTCTCCCAACCTCAACACTGGTGATAAGAAGACGGCCAGTAACCTATACTCAGTTTAATAGATTGAAGTTTGTTGCCGAGCATAGTAGACCAACGTTGCTGCCAACGGGTGTTGGCAGCAACGAGATCTCGTTGCTGCCAACGAGATCTCGTCGATACCAAGGCTTGTGAGGGAGAACACGAAGAAGCGAGAACAGACTGAGGCGTTGAAGTAGGGACGTCTGAGCCCAGGACAGCAAAAGAATTAGATACAGGAGTGACTATGGGAGAGGTAACCACAGAGGAGGCTTCAGAAGATGGGACCCCGGAAGTGGGGGAACGTTTTGAAACACGGGAATAAGAAACTGGAGGTAGTCTCCCTTGGAGGCGGAGATGAGAAACTGCCATGGCATAAGGGAGACCTGCTGCCTCTTTGAGGTAACGAATTTACCGCTCATTTAAGTAGACTTGGCAACGGCGAGAGTATGAACGGTGAGCCTCATGACAATTAAGGCAAGAGGGAGGTCGATTGCAAGACGTATTAGAATGGTCATCGGCACCACAGACCGGGCATTCCTGGAGTTTACCTGGAGAGAGTTTCGGGGGTCAACGCCCCCGCGGCCCGGTCTGTGACCAGGCCTCCTGGTGGATCAGCGCCTGATCAACCAGGCTGTTGCTGCTGGCTGCACGCAAACCAACGTACGAGCCACAGCCCGGCTGATCAGGAACTGACTTTAGGTGCTTGTCCAGTGCCAGCTTGAAGACTGCCAGGGGTCTGTTGGTAATCCCCCTTATGTGTGCTGGGAGGCAGTTGAACAGTCTCGGGCCCCTGACACTTATTGTATGGTCTCTTAACGTGCTAGTGACACCCCTGCTTTTCATTGGGGGGATGGTGCATCGTCTGCCAAGTCTTTTGCTTTCGTAGCGAGTGATTTTCGTGTGCAAGTTCGGTACTAGTCCCTCTAGGATTTTCCAGGTGTATATAATCATGTATCTCTCCCTCCTGCGTTCCAGGGAATACAGGTTTAGAAACCTCAAGCGCTCCCAGTAATTGAGGTGTTTTATCTCCGTTATGCGCGCCGTGAAAGTTCTCTGTACATTTTCTAGGTCGGCAATTTCACCTGCCTTGAAAGGTGCTGTTAGAGTGCAGCAATATTCCAGCCTAGATAGAACAAGTGACCTGAAGAGTGTCATCATGGGCTTGGCCTCCCTAGTTTTGAAGGTTCTCATTATCCATCCTGTCATTTTTCTAGCAGATGCGATTGATACAATGTTATGGTCCTTGAAGGTGAGATCCTCCGACATAATCACTCCCAGGTCTTTGACGTTGGTGTTTCGCTCTATTTTGTGGCCAGAATTTGTTTTGTACTCTGATGAAGATTTAATTTCCTCATGTTTACCATATCTGAGTAATTG